CTTCCCCCACCCCCCACCACCAGGCGTACAAACAATAATCCTCTCCCCCTTCAACATCTTCGCCGTATTCTTACCACCGAGATTAATCCTCCTCTCCTCATAGACCGCCTCGCCAACAGCCTGTCCACCATTCAACATAGCATCCGATCGCTCAGGATTACTCGTCTCCACCCTCCTGACCCAGAGATTAAGTCCGCACTGTGCGTCCTCGCCGCCTTCAAGACCGTAAGGGTGGTAGACCCGTCGCTCGCTGAGGATGGAAACCTGCGTTTCGGGCATGCGGAACTCGATGTCGCGGATGACGCCGTCGCCGCCGCGGTACGTACCTGCTCCGCCGGAGCCAGCGCGGATGGAGAACTCGCGAAGGATGACGGGGTATCTTCTCTCGAAGACTTCTGCGTCGGTGATGCGAGTATTCGTCATGTGGGTATGCACTCCATTCGTGCCATCCCAGTTCCGTCCTGCACCGCTACCTCCCGCAATCGTCTCGTAATATCCAAAGCCCTTTGTAGCTTCCTCGCCTGTGACATTGCCTCCGAACCCGAAGGTTAGGTTGTTGCAATCTCCCTGTGAGGCAGCACAGGCTTGGAATGCTTTGAGGATGACGTCTGTTACACGTTGGGATGTAAGGACATTACCGCCTACCACGGCAGCTTTGTCTGAGGGGGAGAGGAAGGATTTTGGTGGGATGAGCACTTTGATGGGTTTAAGACAGCCTTGGTTTAAGGGGATGTCCTCGGAAATCAGACAGCGGAGGCAGTAGATGATTGCACTGTATGTTACGGCTTGGGGTGCGTTCGTGTTTCCTAACACCAGTGAGTATTTAGATATCTTAAATGGGAAGGGGATAATTATCACATACCGTAAACTTCTGGGCCTGTGCCAGCGAAATCAAAAACCGCTTCTCCTTTCTCGGCATCAATTGTGATTTTAAGTTTAATCGGACTTCCATCATCCATATAATCAACAGCCGAGAGGTCTTGCCCCTCAAAACTCTTACTGACGTCCTTCAGAAGATTCCGCACACTCAGCTCAGCATTCTTCTGGATGTTAACCATATAGAAGTTCACCACTTCCTCACCATATTCCTCGATCAGGGTAGAAATCAGATTGATTCCCTTCATATTACTTGAGATCTGGGCCTTGAGATCAGAGATATTGTCAGCAAGACATCTTGTTCCACTACATCCTTGATACTTCGCAGGCTCCGTCAATAGCAGTTCGGTAATTCGTTCCTCGTTAAATCTTCCAGCACTGACGAGTTTCTCGGATTTGATCGCGGCACCTTCTTGGTACAGCTCTCGTGATTGAGGGGGCATACTTCCGGGAAGAATACCACCGATATCGGCATGATGTGCTCTAGAAGCGACGTAAAACAGAATGTTTTTGCCTGAAGGGTCGAATGCTGGAGTGATAACTGTAATATCTGGTAAATGCGTTCCACCATACTCTGGGTGATTAGAAACAATCACATCCCCTTTGACCAGCTTCCCTTTCCAGATTTCTGCTTGTCGCTTTACACAAGTTGACATAGATCCCAAATGAACGGGAAGATGCGGTGCATTAGCAACTAAGCCACCCGTGGAGTCGAATAATGCGCAAGAGTAGTCGAGACGTTCTTTGACGTTTGTACTGACACTTGTCTTTTCTAGAGCTCTTCCCATTTGCTCGGCAATTGCAATGAATCTATGGGCAAATATACTTAACATGATAGGGTCGACTTCCTTGGTAGTGTCTGGTTTTGAGGAACTTGAAATCATTAGCAGGAATAAAAGTTTTGCATTTGCCCACTCACGTATCATTGAGGTCTTTCTCTCCAATATTGATGACAACATGTGTTTCAATGATCAACGCAGTTGCACTCGGAGTAACAACAATAGTTTGAGTTCCATCCGCGAGAATTGCAGGTCCTTTGATCTTGTCACCAACAGCCAGGTCTTCTAGCTTGTAGATAGGAGTATCCTGTCGCTTGCCATTAAAGTAGACTTTGGAACGACCGTACTCCTTGCTGCCAGAAGGCACGTCTTGAGGCTTGATTTCTTTCAATTGCTTGTCGACGGTCTTGCTCAGTCCTTCAAAGCTCTTTCCAATTCCTCGGACTCGTACGTCATCCACAATGATGTCTCGATCAGGTAATGTAAAACCGAATTCCTGCTGATGTTGCTTTACAAAAGCCTTGCCAAACGCCCATTCATCGCCATTAAATTCATCTTTGACTTCCGCTTCATCTGGCTTGACGATCATGAGAGCAGACTCAGTCCCCCGGTATCTCATATTCAGATACTCTTCATAGACAATGGACTTCTCTCCAAATCCTTGGTCCACAAGAGCAATTTTCGACTTCTCCTTCAATTCACTAATTTTCTTCTTAAGGGATTCCTTGACCTCTCCTTCTTCCACCCAAACCTGGGATTCGGGTTCTTGTCGTTCATCAACAACATCTGCTAGTGCCATTCCATACGCCGAAAGTACAGAAGAGTATCGGTGGACAAGTATCTGATGAATTCCCAAACTCTCAGCAATGGCAACGGCATGTTGACCGCCAGCACCCCCAAAGGTCGCTAACCGATGCTTTGAAGTATCATGTCCTTTAGCTTCGGTTAAGGAACGAATTGGTCTTGTCATCGTCTCATTAGCCACTGTCAGAAATCCGTACGCGACTTCATCGGCAGTCATGTTTTTGCCGCTCTCTTGGTTGATCTTCTCGGTTAGCTCTGTCAAAAGCTTTTCACTGGCGGTAACATCGAGACCTTCGTCTTCATTCTTGCCAAATATTTTGGGGAAGAAATCGGGAAGTAATCGACCAAGAAACAAGTTTGCGTCGGTTACTGTTGCTGGTCCGCCTTTTCTGTAGCAAGCCTAAGTAACGGAAAGTCTCAATTAGCATAAATCCTCAAAGGTTATAGGCAATGAGACAGGAGTAGACAACATGGGTGAGGCGAGCCCAAGTCTTCGAAACGAGAAAGGCTGAGTGCCATGATTGAACATATTGAACTTACGGGACCAGGGTGGGCTCCGGCTGATTCAGGTCCGACAACAAATAGTCCATTTCTGAAAAATAAGCGAGATCCCCCACCAGCAGCAACAGTATTGATATCCAGTTGCGGCGACTGAATAGTAACACCAGCAGTTGTTGTTTCAAAGACATGTTCATATCTCCCAGAACCGTATCGTGAAACATCTAACAAAGTCAGCACTATTTATGCTTCCCAACCCCCTTTTACTGCCAAACCCCAACGAAATGGCTTGGAAAACATACCCGTAGAAGTCCCACCCATATCAAACCCAATAACTGGAATTTTCGTCTCTTCATCATAAGAAGTGAGCGCATAACCAACCACACCTCCCGCCGGGCCCGAAAGGATAGCCTTCAGTCCCGAGAACTTGTCAACATCCACCAATCCACCGTCGCTCTGCATGAACTCGCATCTGGCGCCCTTTGCACCTTTCTCTTCCTTCACACTTCGTGTGCCAAGGCCGCCTTCAAATCCTTTCTGAAAGCCCGCGATGTATTTCTTGATAGCGGGAGTGAGATATGCATCTGCGCATGCAGAAGTAGCTCTTGGAACTAACTTGATCATAGGCATCAACTCGTGACTCAGAGAAACGTGATTGAATCCGATTTCTCTTGCGATATTTCCCACCAGGGCTTCGTGGTCGGGGAATGTATAACCGTGCATCAGACAGACAGCCATACTTTTGATCCCCTCATCGTAAACTTCCTGGAGTTGCTTCCGAATGGTTTCCTCATGCGGCCTCTTCAGAATCCTCACAGCTTCCGAAGATAGTCCTTTCACTAAATCCGGGTCTTCACTATTAGAGTCAATCTTCGTAACAATCCTCTCCGGATCCTCCGCATAATCCTCCAACGTGACCCTCTCCTCAACCTCCATAACCCTCTCATAAAGCACATCCGGTTTCCTAATATTCAGATCAAATATCTTAGGCCTCGATTGATTTCCAATCTCCAAACAATCCTTGAACCCCTTCGTAACAACCATAACAATCTTCTCACCCTTTCGTTCAAGTAAAGCATTCGTAGCAACCGTCGTCCCCATCCGTATACTCTCAATCTTGGTCGTATCAAGCGGCTCACCACGCTGAATATCCTGTTTTAGAAATTGCGACATGAGACGACGGATGCCCTCGAGGGGTGCATCCGAGTAATTTGATGGGTCTTCCGAGAGAAGTTTGATGATTACGTCGTCTTCCATTAGTCCCGTGCCTGGGTTTCCGACGCAGTCTGTGAAGGTCCCGCCGCGCTAGCACCACGATTATTATTTGATTCATTTTGGTGTTTTTATATTGATGTTTTTGAGAAGACTTTATGTTATAGATGTCTGAGGATAGAATGGGGATGAGAGTTTGAAAAATTGGAGAGTGAGGGTGGGATATAGAAAAAGTCTTTTAATGGATGACAAACGGGGAAAGCTGATGTGAGGGACTTACATCGATTGCTATGCGGATACCCCGCGTTTCATTTTGAGAGGCCATTTTTGGTGATGTGGTGGCAAGAAGGCTCTTGAGATGTAAATTTCGGGTTGTATGGTTTAAAAGAAGTTCGTGATCTCAAAAGTGAGAGCTTTTGTCCTGGGTTGATGGCGTTTGAGATGACATGCTCAAGCAGAAAGGTACCCTTGCCTTCAGGTGGGGTGGGGTGGCAGAATTCCACAAAGGGATAAGCACGCCTGGGCAGAGTGGGATGTTTCTTACACGTGACAAAGTATACTTACAAACCCAAATCTTTCTAAATGTACCTGGAAGGGCGTGCTCTAAGGTCGAGAAAAAAGGAGCCTTTTTGAGGCACAGGCCACCCCACCTAACAAATCCACCTAAATCATGACCTTCCATTATAACACATACAAATTAAATAGTAAAATAATGTCTAAAAATGTGTTATTAGTCTATCTCGGTCCCTGCACTCTCGAAATCTATTTGGGTAGGTTTATATACATTTTGAATGGTTTCTTGGTCGTGGTATTAGGTGGGGTAGCCTGTGCCTCAAAAAGGCTCCTTTTTTCTCGACCTTAGAGGGCGTGTTTCTCATACGAAGCTGCGCAGGATCTCATTTTGGATTGTTATGTAAATCTAAAACCTTGTCCTTTTCCGATACAGCCGAAATCCCAATTCTCACCCCGTGACCAAGTAGCAACCCAATCTTTACTTTTACTCACACATTCCTCCTCTTCTGTGCCTCTAGTAGCAATAAAAGTATTGATGAGCTGCATATGAAGATTAATGGCTTTGACATGTAACCGGGGTGAGCCGGTCGAATCGAGGTCTGGTATGTTGGGCACAGTTGATTTTAGAGTCAAAAGATCTGAATCCCATGAAATGCTGCATTTTGAAGGTGCCTCTTCGGGGGCCGTAGAGCGTATCAGAGGTTTAATGAGTGCCTCGAGTTGGAGGTTTGTGGGTGGTTCTGCTTCTGGGTTGAAGATGAAGGCGAATATAAATGGTCTGTTGGCATAAATGATCACCCGGAACTGCCTCCCATCTATCGTCAAAATCAGGGAAGCCAAAGGCTCTTCGTTCTTGAGCTCTTTGTCAGGAGCCTCTTTGGCTTCGATTCCATAGGCTCGATCACCCCATCGATATAGATCCTCCATCAAATAAGAGATATCTTTTAGTCCACTCCTCGACAACCCACCAATTCCCATGAATATAACACCATCCTCAACATCCGGATCTTTGCCAGTACCAAGCCAGGATCCTGTCTGCTGTGATTCTTCCTGTTCCTCCTCACAACAAGTACCCGTATCAGGACTCCCAAATTTCCCAACCATGAGATCAACCAACCCTTCCAGCCTCTGTTGAAACCCCTCCAACACCTCCCTCTCCCCACTCCCGCTCTCTTCCTCTCCAACACCAACGCCCAACTCTCCAAATCCGGCAATCTTAATCCCATCATACAACCTATTCGCCGGATTCCCATGCATAGAAAAATCCCAACTCGCAACAAAAGAGTCCCAATACCTCGTCACCATCTCATTAAACTCCTCGCGTTTGATAGACGCGAATATCTCACCCATCGAAGACCCATGATGCAATAAAAATAGCGAATGAGCACGCAGCAAATCCACAAGTAGAGAAATATTAGGTTTGAGACCACGGGTCGAGTACTCTACAACTTCGGCTCCAGGGGTGGTTTTCGAGAACGTACTATTAGTAGTGGTGGATTTCACCAAGATCTCCGAGTTTATAGACTGGTCATAAAATTAGCATCACCCTCTTCATTCCCCCTTCCCCAGAAAATACAAAGAATAAATAAATAAAAAACTCACAACCAAAACCCACCACCCCTCCTCAAGCTCCCTAACAATCACCCTCCCCCTTTCGGTCTCCACACTCTCCACCGCCTCACCCCCCGAAAAAGTCCTTCCAAACCCAATCATCCCCTGCGCAAGCCCAACCCGTCGAAGCTGTCTATTCCTCTCCTCCCTTTCCCTCTCTTCCCTCTCTTTCTTCCTCTCTTCCCTATCTCGGCTTTTCTTCTTCGGCGACCGGGATCGACTTGAGGGCGAACGATAGTAGACTATTTGGTCCGAGGGTGAATCTTCATCGCCGAGTGAGGGGTTATAGATGGCTATGAAGCCTAGCCGCGCGGGTGTGAAGGATGATTCTGGTGGCATTTTTAAAGTGTTGTTGTGGGTTTGATGTTAATAAGAGTGTTTGAGTGAGAGGATGGATGTAAAGGCAGGTGGAGGTTGAACTGGGGTGGTTAAAGTGGGGCGGCATCGGGTGGATTGGATGTGATTGGTCACAATGTTTTTCGCGATACTTGATCTGAAAGAATCGATTGTCTGAGAACATTTGAGGAAATCCAATCATTTGGATGAACATGAGTGTTAAGAGTTCGGCGAATCAAATTGTAAGAGGTCTTATTCAAATCTTGTGATGACAGGCATGAAGATCAAGCAATCCAATTCTCATTCAGCAACTAGTATCATGAATCTATCTCTTCGCAATTTATCTGTCTACCTATATAATATCTGGTTTAGGTTTAGGTATATGCTATATATTGTTGATTCTCAAAGGAAACTGAATCCAATCTCAACGGCCTCAATTTTCCCTCCTCCCCAAAAGTGGACTTCTGATGCCCTCCTCTTCTTCCGGCTGTTCAACGGCCTTCCTTTCCATACGCTTGAACCTCCCTCCATCAACTTTCGAAACAACCCAACTACCCTCCTTAGCCGCACTCTCAAAGAACCCCTGATTGTCCTCGAAACTCCTCCCTCCACTCTCAGGAGAATACCTCTTGGTCCACCACCCCGCAAACCCATTAGTAACGGCAAACACCAGAAACAACCAGTACTTCAACTGGTTAAAGCCAATGGGTGTAAGTAACGTAACGGTAAAATTCGCGAATCCCCATACAATTACGGAGATGGCTGCACCTTGTGCCCGAGCTGTGGAAGGGTAAATCTCTGTAGGGATAAGCCAGACGGTTGGGAGCCAGGTGATGCCGAAAATTGTTGTTGCGATGAAGAGAATTACAGTTCCTGGGATCTCTACTGCTAAATCTGGAATTCGAGAGACAGTAGCCAGACCGCCAAAGATTGTGAGCAAGAGGAAGGAGGCTGATAGACCAGCTGAGCCCCATATCATGAGTCTACGACGACCGATCACATCGATTGTAAGCCAGGCGATGGTCATGGTCAGGAAGTATGAAATGTAGTTTCCAAGTGTTAGATACTCGGCTGGACGGGTGTTGAAGCCCAACAATTCGAAAATTTGAGGGCCGTATACGGAAACTGCCCCGTAACCTGTTTTGTAAAGTCAGAAGAAGATTTACAAGAGAAAGAATGAGTATCAAACCTGTAAGTGCTTGGTTTATCTGCCCCATGACGGTTACCATGGAAGGATGGGAATGCGATCCACCTGGAATAAGCATATCTTTGTATCCGACTTTTGCGTTACTCTCCTCCTCCTGGGCTTTCTCTAACTCGGCAAATTTTGATGCCGCGGTTTCTTTGCCATGTATGTCTTCCAAAGCATCTTTAGCATCATCTTTTCGATTCTTACTAAAAAACCAACGGGGTGTCTCTGGAAGTCGACTAATCACCAACATCAACAAGATGGGGAAAGCTTGCATAACAATGATGGGAACTCTCCATGCCCATTGATTTTCTTTCCCCCATGCGATCGTGATGCCTAGGTTTATAGCATATGCCACCAACAAACCAAATATATTCATCTGGAACTCCTGCGCTAATGCTCTTCCTCTTGCTTTGTCCGACGAGAGTTCGCTGCTGTAAACAGGAATCACCGCATCAATGCCTCCTACTCCCAGACCCATGACAATACGGCCGAGCAACATGGTAATGATCGCATGCCCATTCCAAGATGACGAAGCTTCGGCTGAAAGTCCAGATAGACCAGATACGAACATAAGGATATTCCCCAAGGCCGTCGTAGCGAGACATGTGAAAATGGATGGTTTTCTGCCTTCTCTATCTGCCAACCAGGAAGCAACCACTGCTCCAGCAGCACAGCCTAAATAGTATACTGATACTATGATTCCGACAATGGGAGACTCTTCGGCAATTCCCATGGTTTTAAGATATGAATAATTGGTATTGATTAAAGACATCATTCCTGGACCTATTAGAGAGAGTGTACCATAGTGCAAGGACGGCAAGTACCTTGATCGTAGCCATAGAGGGCAATGGCAGTGGAGGAAAATAGTACAATTTCCCGTTTCTTAGATACCAGAGGGAAGATAGAGGGACTGTCACCCCCCAACTGATTTGGTGGATTGGGCATTTTGATGTGAATGCCTGACCAGCTCAGAGACTCGTGGAGTTTGTCAACGTTTAGATCCAACGATCATAGATAATATGTTATATGTAGAATAGAGGGAGGGTGCCGAGAAGGAAAGAAGAACTTGTTAGAAGGAACAAGTTTGGTACATCAAAATTGGAAGTTGGAAGTCACTTCCTACATTTCCGTAGTGCATCCTTACCAGATACTGGAGGGCGGTGGGGGGAAGGAGGGAGTGAGGGGCATCGTCATTTGGTGCAGCCCATCAAGTCAGACGTCATTGGGCTGCGCTATGCATACGCAGACTTCGCACTCCCTCAGTGGAGGTTGTCAGTTGTCCCTCGGCTGACATGGCATTGCCGATGAAATGCATCCGACAAAGGCATCTGACAGTAGTCAGAATAAAAGAGTTCTTCGGACTTCGGAAACATGCATTAGCTTGCACCTGCTGGAACGTGTTATGGTGTTGATGTCGGACGAAATAAATTTACGAGTAGTTTCATCGCGTCGCTCAAAAACGCTGATGCACTGATCGCCCTCAACCCCTGTCACCATCCCCCACAGTACTCTACGAGCACCTCCCCAGAACCTTGAAGCTTCGCGCCGGTCCTGGGCATCCAGCACATCTAGATCAAGAGCTCCAGAAATGAAGACTTCCAAATGCCTCCGCCTCCGGTGGTAAGAAATTTATTCATGCGAATGTTCTCTGTTCCCACCAGTATACTAAATATATTGATTGCGTAGACTCCTTCGCCACGGCGATTCGTGATCAAGAGAGATCCTCCGCCGCGGAAGACGCCATTGACTCAGGAATATAAACCGCGACCTGCCCCTCCTCTCCCTCCTCCATCATCCAGCAATGCTCGACCCCCAAGCATCACCCCGCAGTTTAATGCGACCCGTCGATTCAATGTGCCATCCACTCCTCGTCCAACGGCCACTCCGGGGCCTGTCGCCACTCAAGAACGCTTTGCTCCCACTCCATCGGCATCGCGTTTCGTGACACCAGGGAGGAGAGTCTTGAAAGCGGAAGACTCGATTGATACCTATACTTCATCCGATGGTCTACAAGCCTCCATCGAGAATGATGATGAAGATACGGAAGAGGTAGGATACGGTGGTATCACAATAGAAGAAGAAGAAGGATTTCCAATCGAAGCCCCAAGTCCTAAACGTCGCCGGCTCTCTGCGAGTAGTTCTCCTTTTCAGGAGAATGACGATCAAAATGAATCAAATAATATCGACTCCTTCACTTCCGCTATTCTCTCCTCTCCACTGCCTCGTCCGGCCCATCTCGCACTCCCAGCTTCAGCACAACGCTTCTTAGCACCACCATCCACACCTCTCCCCACGAATCCCTCACTCCCAGCTTTCCGAAAACCACCACCCTTTCGACCTCCAGATCCTGGAGAACAGGGACAATCACAAGGCGATCCGCTCCCTGAACAATTCTCTCCACATAGGAAAGGAATGAAATACATACCAGGAGGTCTAGCATCCGAACTTCAAGGCTGGCTATTCAACATTGAAGCTACTCCTTCCCATACATCCCGAGAAGGAGGTTGGTTAGTCCAGATTCTGGTTGATGAAATCAGTGGTAGTTCACGAGCTGGAATGACCATGATTCGGGGCCGACAAATGCAGAATGTGAGTAATGAAACGGGATCAGCTCATGTGGTCGATCATTTAGGTTTTGTGCAAGTTATTCTTGCAGGAGAGGGACAAACGACTGGTTTGCAAAGAGGGGAGGCAATTGAGAAGGGGAAGATGGTAGGTATCAAGGGACCAGTGTGGGAAGCTGTGGTTGAGGGATGTAAATGGGGAGTGGGTGTTAATTGGAAGGTATTAGGAGATGGATGATCAGATGCATGGCATGACATTATGATAAAATGATTGAGATGAGATACCCATGGCTTGAATTATCAAGAGCTATTTAGCTATTGTACCTATCACCGCTATCAAGATTCTAGCAAAATAAGAACTCCCCCCTTTTGTTTCTTGGAAGTGGGGCAAGGAGAAGCGAGACATTCTCGGCGAATAACCTCATAACCATCTACCATACTAGAATATCATCGCTCGTAATCTGCCCATACTCCGACTTTCTCATCTCTAGGCCAATTTACCTTCCCAGCATATTATGTTTCTCTACTTTACAAAAATTGTTTAAAATGCGGCAAGTGACTCACGCGGCATAAGCCAAGCCACATTCTGTACCTCCGCTTCAGCTCATCTTGTGAACTATATTAGTCCTCGATGTTTTTCAAAAAACGCAGTAGAAACAAACGTATCTCTATAAATGAGCCCTAAGGAGTTTCTAAACGACATTTCAAAGAAGCCATCAACCAAACAACCTTCAACAAACACCACAATAAAACTCAACAACCTCATTAACAACCTACTTCCAAACTCAAACCATGTCCACAACCCCACCACCTCCCCCCTCCCTTCCAAATCCACCCCAAACCCCAAACCCAAAGCTCAACCCAACCATCACCCTCCTCCCAATCCTCCCCCAAGACCTCCCCTCCCTCGCCCATCTCGAATCCCTCGTCTTCAAACACGATCCCTTCTCCATAACCGCCTTCGGACCTCTCAAGGATTCGGCGGAGAACCTTGCGCTTCGTGTGAGGGGGTTGGAGAGGTCTTGTCGTGTTAATAAGGGAGAGGGTGGGAGGTGGGCGAGAGGTTGGAAGGCTGTTGTTGGGGAGGGGGAGGAGGTTGTTGGGTGGTGTGAGTGGAGTTTTGATGGGGAGGGAGATGGGGATGGAGAGGGAAAGGGGGATGGAGAAGGGGATGGAGAGGAAGAGGAGGAGGAGATAGGTTGGGGAATCTCAGCCGATATCAAGTTCTGTGAAGATGTTTTTGGGAAGGCTGATGAGTGGATGCGGGAATGTACTCATGAAAACCCCTACGCTAGTATATCTTCCCCTTCCTTCCCCTTCCTTCCCCTTCCTTCCCTTTCCTCCCCTTTCCTCCCATTCCCTTCCTCTCAATACTCACCCACCCAAACAGAACTCCACACCCTCATCATCCACCCCGCCTACCAACGCCTCGGCATCGGCACCCGACTGCTCCAACAGGGACTCGAGGAAGTCGACAGACTGCACTTGCAATGCGTCCTAGGGGCCAGTCCCGAGGGAAAGGGATTGTATGAGCGGTTTGGGTTCTCGGAGGTGAGGAGGATGGAGATTAAGCTTGAGGAGTATGTTAATGGGAGGGGATTGGGGATGGTGGGGCATGGTGTTATGTGGAGGGGGGGGAGAGGGG